TCAAACCACACTCTTCTCTTATCACATAATTTCTCACCCTGTCATTCAGATTCAGCATACTCTTTAACGTCCGCATTTCTACGGCGTTTATTCTACTCTCTTGCTTCTTCTGCCACTCCCAACTTTCAGTACCATACGTTAAAGTAGGTAACAACACAGCCTTGTGAATTGCCATACGTGTCTTTTTGGCACATTCTGACTTTTCAGAATAGAGTGTAGGGCCCATTTACTCTATTTACTGCGTTCACTCGTCGTTCTATATCCTTATCATCTCTCCATCCATCCCTGCTAAATACGCAGCCCAAATACACAAACTCATCTACTTGCTAGATCAACTCCCCTTCTATTCTTATATAACATAATATCGTTTTACTTTCTTCTCTAAAACTTCTTCTTAAACCTTCTTCTTCAAAAACCATAACTTTCATCTTACTTGGGTTCACTTTCATACCCCTTACTTTTAATGATCTGTTCATTTATGTATTAAGTAACCATCATTTGCAACTTAGCCGCCGACGACGCAAGAATAACTTGATCATCGGCGTACAAAAGGCATTTGACGGTTAACTCACTCATTCTTAATCCGCATTCTTCAAATTTAAAATTTTTCTAAGCAACTGTCTATAAATAGGTTGAACAGCCACGGGGAAGTCACACAGCCTTGTCTGACACCTTTATGGATTCCAAACTAGTCCGAGTAGACCCCGTTGAAACACAAGCACTAGAGTCCCTATACAGAGACTTTAATGCCTGTATCAGCCAGCGCTCAACCCAAATGAGTTCAGTGTTTGCCATAGCACATCCCTGTCTACTCTGTCATAGGCCTTTTCCAAGTCCATGAACTCACAAAAAATCTTTTGGGTTTTGGCCAAGACTTTCTCCGCGATCATGCGCATGGAAAATACTTGATCTGTACACCTCATTCTCTTTCTAAATCCCGCTTGTACATTCCAAATTTTTCCATCAATTTCTTTCATGTATCCTTTCAATTATTACTTTTTATAAGGAGAAATTAATTAAAATAGATATACTCAATAGAAATACTCATTTTATAATGCTAAAAACATCATTTACCGTGTATGATATGAAAGAATAATCTGAAAAGTTATAAATATATATCTACATCAAAACAATGCGGTCGGGAAACTTGAAGAGTTGATTCCAGCAACGTGTAAAGTTAATTTGTTTATATGATTGATATTTGTAATGTGATGCCACGTCGATAGACATATCAGAGTTAAAACAAAAAAGTAAAAGGCGCCCAAAAGATTTATCACTATAACGTTGGTCGACAGGTCGTGTTCACGCATTATCTAGTTCTGCTATGAGAGAAATTTATTAAGACATACTTCTAACAGCTTCCGAACGCATAAACAATAAGGAAGATTAAAAACGTGTCAATACACAAATTGAATCGTCAGAAATATTGATTTGTTACAACGCCTTAAGGACCGGAGGTCACTTCGAAGTGAAAATTCTGGACGTCTAAAGTTAATGTATTTAGATAATTGAGTTATAGACTTTGACGATAGCTTTAAAGATTAAAATGTCAATTTACAGATAGTAAAAGTATTGTTATTATAACTTATGAAGTCGTTTTAGGTGTGAATTTATTAGTTTTACCTAATTTTAACAACTATAACATTGGTTATGGCATTATTCATAAATTAAAAAAATATATCAGGTTGCATAAAATATCAGCATAGATCGGAACAAAAGTTAAATTTTAATCTATGGTAACCGCGGTTAACTATGACATATGGACGTTGAACATTTCAGTCCTGCCCGTGACCATGAGTGCTGTAAAGCGTTCGAAACGTCGGGTATTTAAAAAGTTAAATATACGCTATAAATTCCGTAAAAACTAGTATTATTTCAATGTGTAGTGTTCGCGTAAATATAAGAAATAATTATGTAAATAACAAATAAACTAAAGTAGGACCACTACGAAGTTAAGGCACAAATTTAATCTTGTGACTTGAGAGAGAATTAAATCTCCAGACTGGCACTTACTAAAACCCCATGGTGTACTACCTCCACCGCAAATTGGCAGGGTAACGGAAACGCGTTCATGCACATCCACGCAGCCACCCAATAGCAGCCCCTCCTTAGTAGCTGACTTCTCCCCCCCCCCCGTTTTCTTTCTCAGATAAGGCGCACCAGAAACACAAGGCACACTGCCCTTTGCGGCCTCTGACTCCACCTGCACTACAGACTCCCCGAGCCCAATATGTGAATTGAGCCAGGAAAAAACGAGCACTTGGAAGCATCAAGTGGTAAAACCTCTGCAAAGTCGCGAATGATAGTCGAGTGGCATCGCATCGCCAATCGCCATACCAACACTCCTCTTCCCTGACGACTACACCTCGACTACAGCGGTTCAGGGAGAGGAATATCCTCTAGCCGCAGCCCACTAACACACATCCAACGTGGCTCGACATCATCAGGCTACCCTTCGACACTTGGATATGGCCCTTGAGTTTGGGGGAAAATGAGGAAAGAAGAAATAAAAAAACATTCGAAGTAATAATCTAATACTTTTATATTTACTGGTACTGGTACTACCAAAAAATATTGTCGGAATACTGCACTTTTTCAAAGTGGTGCAGTTCTCATGTCTAATAAAACAGTCGTCTGTAAAATGTTTAGAACAAATATGATAATTTTGTTTCGGACGCTAATTCACAATATTTATGCTTTTAAGCCATAATTTTGGTCTAGGGTAGGAAAGAACATCGATAAGTATTGTATACAAGGAACTCGACAACCCTATTGAATTTTATAGTTTATCAAAACTTAGTAATATACAGCCAAACATGTTGGTATATATATGATATTAAGATTAGTAACGAATTTCTAAGTACTCATATTATCAGTTTTAATTTGTTTAACATTAGCCGCAAATTCACTTACTTGTGAAATGTTATACCACTTCACTTTTGGTAATGAGTTTTACAGATTACGCACACTCATTATTATTAAAAATAATTCTTATTATGTAACTAATATTATACACAATCAAACAGCATAAAATACTTTCGTTTTTTAGTTTAAAAGTTAAAAATACAGATTTTTTAAATAATACAATTGAAATAAGACAACAGACTTTGGCATATTATGTCAATTTTAGTTTCTGAGACGACCGTTAGGGGCGCTTCAAACTGGCACAGACATTTTGTATGGTATAGCTAGTCGAGCTACTTGTAAATATAGGGGTCAGTGGTCACAATCTAATATGATTAGATCGAACTCTAATTAAAATATGAAGTGAGTTCATTCTAAAATCAATGCAGTAATATAGGTATTTTACATTATTTACTAGCTGGGCCGGCAGACGTTGTGCTGCCCTTTCCTGTAGGTTTGTTTCACTTTCACTTAATTCTCAATTCTCAATTCACTGCGGCCTTTTTAGAGCCTGAAAGTAAAATTTATTAATTAATCGACCACAGTGCCACCTATAGAGTTCAAATGACTTGATAACTTTCTTATTTTCAGCTATCACTTTACATTAACTAACCACATATGCTATACTCGCATATGTTGTGGTGAGTGTAAGACTTTGGCCAATAAATATAGAATTTATAAGAACTTTAAAAAATTTATAAGACTAAAGAGCTATCATTCGGATTTTAGCTTAGATATGAACCATTTATTCGACAAGACATTATTTATTACATATTGTGTAAATATAGTCGAAATCACACGATTACTAATAGACGATCGCGAACCAATGATTATATAAAAAGATTTTCGTTTAAAAATATTGAACTGATTTTATTTTAAATAAAGCTTGCGTTAAGTCACATGTAAAGAGACCTTGTAGTTATTTCATTAGATTGCGTCATCATCGATTTTTAATGATTTTACAATTTTTTATATTTTTATAAAATTATGTTAATAGGGTGAATCGATCTCCTGGAAAAGACTGTAATAAAAAAAATTGGCAGTAGTTTTCTAGTGAAGCTCTTAAGTGTCCGCTGTCTAGAAATAGAACATTCGCAGTGAATGGCACTAACTTCGTTTCACCTGTCTGGTTGGATCGACTTAGCGGGAAGCATGGCAGTTACGAGATGCCGCAGTAGCGACTGCATTGAGACATAACTTCATTCCCTTTACATTAACTTTCTTCAATCTAGAAAGACTTGATTTAAATAAAACTATATAATGCAGTCAAATTTTGACGAAAATAAAATCTATATAATCGTACAAACGTTAAATACTGTAGTTAAATTACATAAATATGTCGACGGCAATGGTGAACGTAAAAACGTAGATGAGTTTATGTTTACACCAAAATTTACTGTCTTTTTGATAATTTCTTTAGTAAATTAATAAAAATAAAAATTAGTACGTGAGCGTAGTACGGTCATCCGGTTAGCTTTGTTTGTTTCATCATCATCATCATCATTACAGCCCTTCACAAGTCCACTGCTGAACATAGGCCTCCCCCAAGTAATGCCACAAAGCACGGTTCTGAACCACCTGCATCCATCGACTTCCTGCATGTCTTACCAGTTCGTCACTCCATCTAGTGGAGGTCACTCTACACTATACCTACCGGTACGAGGCTGCCACTCGAAAACCTTTCTTCCCCATCGCTTATAAGTTCTTCGAGCTACTCGTATATTGTTTGTTTACATAGATGTTTTTGTGGTTTTGTGATACGATAGCTCTTCGTCGGTCAATCAAATGATAAAGGATCAAAAGGGTGATGCTTTATCGACGCGACAGTTGACATTATAGTAAATACTTTAGTCAATTTTAGTATGGTGTAATGTAGTTAGTTATTTTTAAGTAGATTCTTTGAACTGTTCCTAATTATTGCTAAGGTTTGTTTGCCATTTTTTTCTTAATATATTAGTTATAATATACGACTTTGTGTTTTTGTCTTTTTCCATCTCCTAGTTTTAGCTTTATTGGGCGGCAAAGCTTAAGCATGCCTAACATTACTTATATAATAGTAGCAATGTGTATTTGTATTTTCACAAAAAATCTTTTAGTACTGTTGTAAAAGATTTTAGTATCAAACTAATGAAAATAGCGAACGAAGTTATGATTCGAACGTGTGGGAAACCGAGCTCTTCAACGAGATCAGTCGGCGCACGATTTATAGAGTGAGTTATTTATTTTACATTACAAATTGATCGATCATTGGCGGCTAGAGGTTTTTTTTTCTATTTTTACATCGGCCTGTTCGACACGCGTTATGATATCAACTGAAGGAATTAAACTCGGCATCGATGTTTCAATTTATCGGGTATGGTTATTTATGTAATGTAATTTGTAAAAAAATAGCTTTTCAAGGGCGGTTTGTCTACTTTAAATTTTCGTTATTTATTAGCTTTGAAATTTTAACATCATAACAAATTTAAGCTGTTAATGAATTTAGGATAGATGTGTTTATATATTTTATGGATATATTTATGTAGTGGCGTGTGAAAAACCGAAATATTCATAGAAATCCCAGAAAATGAGAAAGGCAAAAGAAAAACATAGACGTATTAGGTCAATGATCGTAATCCGCCTACAATAGCTACATAACAAAATAATTTATTGTAATTGAATATAATTAAAAATTTGAATAAAACATCTGTATTTTAGGCTGTTTTTTTCTTATATTTTAACATTAGTTGTTCCCCGAGCCTTCGCTCGCGTGAAATTTATTACGATTGGACTTCATCGGTTTTATTTTTTACCCGGAACCCATATTCTTTTTAAATAAATGTAGCCGAAGTTACTCCTTATAACACCAGTTATATGCCAGAGAAAGTCCTGTCAAAACAAACAGACACACATAGAGTAGAGACAAATAAAAAATTAGAAATTGGTTTTTTTTTTGTAATAAGTACCGTATATACTTTCATACGCATTTAGTAACAAGCTGCTTTGATACCAATAACTTAAATCAGTGATTCAATTTATCGGTAAACTTTAGTCATAATCTCATAATGCCTAGTGTTAGCTTATTCAGGGCGATTTATTTACTTCGTATTTCTTTCGTTATTAATTAGTTTTTAAATTAAAAGTAAGTTATTTAATGTTTAAAAAAATGAGATGGACGATATTTTATAAATAATATGGGTTTAATTTTTTTATAGAATAATGTGACAAACGAGCACACAGTCCACTTGATGGTAAGTGGATGCTGTGGCCTATAGACATCTAAATTTATCTTCGATTAATAATCAAAATGCAGATGCGTTGTCACCCCTGAGGACTAACGGCCTGGCCATGGGGATCGGCGGCGCGAACGGCGAAGCGACAGGCGGGGCGATGTATCGCGCGGCGCGATTTGAGGGCCACGGGAAGTCATGTTTGCCGCCGCGACCAGATAGGCCGAGAGTACGTAGTACTATTATTTATTCTGTATCGAGAGTGAAATGTCCTTATCAAAGTTATCTCGATATTGCTTAGAAAGTAATTGTTTTTTGATTCAAGGCATAATATTTGAAAGATATTGCGGAGTACATTATTTGAATAGGAATTGGGTTATAGATGAAGAATTCCACAACAAATAGAATGCATCTAGAAAAAAATTTCGAGTAAATACCAAAACAAGTGTCGAAACCAGCGATTATATTCTTGCTAATATTCAACCAGAATTGGAGATAAAAGTCAATGTGGATAGAGTTATAAGTTGTTTTTGTCGGCCCGGCATTTTTCGCGGCGAAAACAACTAAAATATTTTGTTCCTTTTACTATTCACCGGTTTTCGCCGCGTCTTCCGCCGTCTGACTCCGTGGCTTGCACCGTACTGATTCATAGATTTGTTGCAGTCGCCCGCCGCGCCGCAAGTCGCCCGCGCGATTAGCCCGGTAAATTTCGCCGGTCGCTTTTCCACTCGCCGCTACGCGTGGCTTGATCTTGATCCACACATTTCTATACATTTGTTTTAGTCGCTAGACGCCTCGCCGTTCGCGCCGCGCGAATTTTCGCTACGGCGAATGTCCCGTGGCCAGGCTGTTAGAGGGAATGCCTCGTTTCCAGTAAAAAGTGTCTTCGGTTCTCTATATTCACCATCAGAAAACAAAGCAGCATTAAGCTGCTGTTTTCCCGACCCCGGTCGAGCCGACCCATTCGTGCTATAACCATATCGCAGTGTGGCTCTATCACGTAAAAAATAAATAAAATTGTGGTAAAATTATGTAGTGTCATGCATTAGAAAAACTTGAAGATTAATAAGTCATAAAAACGGAAACGCAAAAGAATAACATGAACTTATATGGAGTCTCATTATATTTTATTTTTTGTTATTGAATAAAACTAATACATCCAATGTCATAGAGCTTCTTAAACACGTGTGTTGTAAACCATTCGTGATTCAGAGAAATAAAAATAATTAAAATCCAAATATAAAATTCAAATAATCTGAGTGTAATATTTTTGTATTTTTTTATAGGAGATGGTGACAAACGAGCACACAGTCCACCTGATGGTAAGTGGTTGCTGTGGCCCATAGATATGTACATATATCTTCGATTACGAATTAAAATTCACATACGTTGTCACCCGTGAGGACTAAGATGGAATACCTCGTTTCCAGTAAAAAGAGTCTCCGGTTCTCTATACTCACCATACGAAACACAGCAGCTATTATTTTACGCTGTTATTCCGTGAGAGCGTGGTCCTTCCCCGGTCAAGTCGACCCATTCGTGCTACAACTATACTACTAATATAGGTAACTGCAGCATGGCTCTACCACGAGTAAAAATGTAGAAATCATTTTTGTTTATTGTAATTTTTTTCTTTTCTTTTTTTATTTGCTTGTTAAGGGAAACATACAGCACAATAAAATTATAAAATACATTATAAAAACGTATAAAAGTAATCCTAAAACCAATGAAGTTTCGACAGATATCTAATACATATTAAAAGTTGGCAACTACAATATGTTTAAAGATTTAAAAAAATAACTAAATGGTATTTATAATTAAACATTAAGTACTAAGCAGATAAAAGTAATACAATACATACAACCTATAGTGAAGCTACCAATTACAAATAAAGTTTTACAATATTTTTAATGACTATTATTTAAGGTGAAAATATCTAGTTCACAATATTTTAAGTTAAAATTTTTACATGTACGAGATACAAAATATATATAATATTAATCATTTTTTTTCTTTACAGATCACAGGAAGATATGCTATTTATCGAACAAAGAAAATGACAGTTGATGGGATCACGTGAAGCATAAAATATTTTTCTCCTTTCCTAATATTTTTACTACAATTTGACAGTGAAGTTAACTTGTAGTTATTTGAGTGTTACTAGAATTATCACAAATTACAGACTATTATATGTGATTTTACGTTACATTGGTGCGCGTATTGGATTGGTGATTGAAACTATCCCAATCAATATGTTGTTTCAAGGGCCTCTTCTGTTCCACGTATTCATAATGTGAGTATAATGCGGCACGTGTTTTGATTCTGTTTATCGTTATTAAACAAGATGCTCGTAATGCTCATTAAAGCAATATAGGGATTTGATAGGCGCCGGGTTCAGAAATATGTATAGATATGTATATTGATATGTACCTGATCTCAATTACATTGTATAAATTACATTAATTTTACTGAGGTAAATATTTATAGGAAAAAAACTTATAAAGACATATATTAAAGTTCATGACATTTGTGACAAAAAAAAATTCGCTACTGGTACACTTTGAGGTACTTTAACAATATGTGGAGGTGGAGCCGCAAGTACCGTAATTGCAGGTTCTTGAAGCATTTCATCTTATCGTATCACAAGTGATAACGCACATGTTGACTTCAATATACGAAGTTGATTTTATGCAGGTTTCAATGGATTGTAGTATCCACGGTTTTGTGGAATGTTATGCTGCTTGTGTCACTTTGAAGTTATACATGGTAGTGCGACGCTGTAACTGTATTATGGTTGTAGCACGAATAGGTATGCTGGATCTGGGAACATCCACACTTTCATAGAATACCAGTGTTAAATAGCAGTTCAATGTTGCTTCTTTGTGTCGTGGAGTGTAGTTAACCGGAGACTTTTATATTGGTAATTAGGCATTCTATCTTATTTTGAATCTTAATTGATAATATAAATATAGATATCTATGGGTTACAGTATCAACTTACCATTAGTTGGACTATGTGTCTGTATGTCACATTTATTCAATAAAAAATATGTAAAAAGTAGTAAAGTGGTGTGTGATGGCGTGGCTTACAAATAGTATTATTTTGAAAATCCAGATGACAATATTTGCTGCAAAACAAGAAACATTTTAAGTTTCCAAATGTCATCGCGTAAAAGATATTTTTGTTTTTATCTGTGACTGTGAATATAAAAAACACTATGAATTAACCTTGTACTGTTATTACTTTTCGCAGATAACTTTCACTTGTACTAGAATCTTGCGTATGTGATAGGATTTAATTTTAACACAATAACACTATCTATCATCAAATTAAAATTAAAATATGCCTTGATAGCTTAAAGCCGAGTTGGATCGAAAGGACAAAAGTCGATTAAAACTGTCTGTTTCGTGTCTAGCTTCGATTGTAGATTTTATTGAAATTTATTGCTTTGACTATAAACATAAAACCGAAACATAAACAAGTCGTAAACACAGATTTAAAAGAAGCATAATAGAGTCTGTGTGTTTTGTCATTTAACCTCCAGATTGACACCTACCAGTATCAAAAGCCGTGCTACTAACTACTAACACCCCGAACTTCATATTATGATTTATTTCAGTCTTATACGGCGCATCATTAAAAGATTGGTAGGCCATTGTAAAATGATCCGAAGCCTTTTCGGGTGTGTATTGTTATTGTTTTTAAGATTTATTTTATGACTTTATCAGTGGTTATAAAACTATTTAAACGTTTTCGTCGTAAATATATTTCCTGTTCATAAAAGTCATAGTTTTGAATTAAATTAATTTGTATTCAAAATCAAATTTTTAAACTTCGGTGAGTTATTTAATTTGTCACGGAAAGTGAAAGTTAAAATAAGTAAGCTTAAGTATGAATAAAATCATCTTTTAAAAGCCATTCCTATGAAATATTTTATTTGTATTTAAAAATTGTACCACCAGCTAAGTGATTAGAGTATCTGACTCATTGAGCCGAGTTTCATCTAAAGAAAATACTTAAGCAGATACATAAAAATATCGGATTTTAGGTTAAGTACGAATTGTCATGTGGATGGTTAATACTTAATTAAAGCTCGAATGATTTTCTTACGCCGCCTCTTCGGAGGTAATAAATGAGAATGGGGGAATGTTTCTGTAAACTTTCGGTGCTGTACCCATTACTGTTTTTTTTAACTTTAGTCAATATTCCGAAAGTCCTATAGTCATAATACTAATAGTAAACCAATAATAAATGTTAGGACCAGCAACAATAATAAATGTAATAGGTTGTTAATTGTGTCTTTACTAAAATCTTTTAAGACTGTTAATTATAATAAAAATATTGCCTCCATCTTAATTTTGTTTAACTTTTTATATTTTTTATTTTTTTACGCTTCATTACATTTTACGAGAAGATGTTATATGATTATCGTACTAGCGATTACTTTGTTTCTAACAGATAGCAAAATCAAAGCGGAAAAGAACATAGATTATAATATATGGAAACTAGCATATTATAACGCTTTTACGCGGTTTAATTGAAAACTATTACTGTGATGACTGCATTTAAGTACGTCGGTACTGGTGAGACCGCAATGTTAAATCCCGTTTTAATATTTGCTCATAAGCCGGGTACCTATATTAAGTGTAATTCTGATATTTTAAAAGCAGGTATTCCGTCGCTTCAACCATTCATAGGCTCTTTGGGTGTTTCATCTTTAGATATACAGGATGTTAGTGTAAACACCGTTGTCCTTGAAACCAGTGGTTTGGTTTCACTTATAGAACGTAAATTAAATGAAAAATAACAACTTTTTTTTAGTAAAATCTAAATTTTTCTTTAATTCCTCAATTTTTGCTTGTCCTAAGCCAGGATGAAAGTATGAAGGAAAAGTTACATCACAGGTTATGTGTATCTATTGTGTTTTTAAGTTGAATGTTGTGTAGGTAGCTAGCGCAGGCCGTTATCTTTACAGTGATTACGTCACTTGGGCGCATAGGGTATCCAAGAATTTACGGACGGTCTCGGACAGAAACTTTTTAAATTTTATGAACTAAAATATTTGCGTTTTTTTTAAATTCATTGAAATTACGATCTATAAGTGAAACCAAACCACTGGTTTCAAGGACAACGGTGTTTACACTAACAACCTGTATAGGTTTTAGTAACATAGGTTCGATTTCCTTTTTTTTCTTTTTTAAAAAACGTTACCCCTACTCTAGGATTTTCTCCTGTATCGTAGGGGCAGTTTACAAACATAAATTGCACAAGGACAAACATCCAGACCCGGAACAACTATTTGTAGGCCATACAAATACTAATTCCGTACAGGTATCGAACCCGCGACCCCCAGCTCAGCCACTAATTGCTTATCCACTGCGCCACGGAGGATTTCTGATGCTGATAATTAAAGATGAGGCAGACAGTGCATGGTGTAGCATTATTTGTCTCCCACTCATGCACCTTGTATTTTTATTTCAATCTCACCCTAATCACTCCATTGCGAATCTGGTATAATATAGATAAATATAGGTATCTATGGTCGCCACTTACGATAGCTACACGACGATATAGGTTAGTGGATATTCTAATACCGCAACTACACGGATTTTAATTGAAGTAAAGGCAGTAATAAGTGAAATATATAAATATCCATTATACAGAGATTAAGTGATACACAAATGAGAACTTTGAAAAACAAACATATATAACTTTAACTATCCAATCTCCATAAAATTCCCATGCAGTCGCATGCGCCTGGTAAATCCCGAAAGGTCGTATGCGACCGCACCCACCCACAGCACTTAAAAACATTGAAACTTATATTTAAAGACTACTTTTCTATGAAGAAATTTGGCATTATAAAATCTATACAAAATTCTTTATCCTATGGTCTAAACAAAAGTCAGGTTTTACTTCATTACAAAAAGATTCTATTGTATTTTGATAACAAAAAAAAAAAACATACCAAGCGCATGTCGGCAGCGTGAAAACCACAATTATTTCTATATAATACTCGAAATTTTTTACGTAAAAATTATTTAAATTATTTACGTAAAAAATAAATTATATTCACACAAAAACTTTTATAACAATTTTATAATAAAACACTATAATAAAACACTAAAAATCCAAAAATCAACACAACATCCAAATGAAAATGGCGTACGTAATTAAAGTAGATAGTAGGTAGTTTTATACGTGGTAGTGCCATGCTGCAGTTATATTAGTAGTATAGTTGTAGCACGAATGGGTCGGCTCGACCGGGGTAGGACCACGCTCTCACAGAATACCAGCGTGAAATAGTAGCTAATGCTGCTGTATTTCGTGTGGTGAGTGCAGAGAACCGGAGACCCGTTTTACTGGAAACGAGGCATTCCATCTCAGTTCTCACGGGTGACAACGCATCTGCATTTTGATTTTTAATGGAGGATAGATGTAGATGTCTATGGGCCGCAGCAACCACTTACCATCAGGTGGACTGTGTGCTCGTTTGTCACCCTATTCTATAAAAAAAAGTAGAATATAAATTAATATCCATAGACTAATTGTTTTTTTATTCAACTATAGGATAGAAAATTTCATATTGATTCTATAATGCCACACTTCCTCGTAGAAAAGTAGTCTCTAAACATAAGTATTTATGGGTTAAAGTACTGTGGGTGGGTACGGTCAAATTTGACCTCTTGAAGTTTGACGGAATATCGAAGCGATCAAATTTGGACGCTTGGCGTTTAAGAGGTTAACTTGTTATATGGGCCTAATGAACCAGCAATTATTACTCTACAAGCGTCTAAATTTCGTAAATGCGTGGTCGATATTTATGAATGGTTTGGTAGCAAACTGGCCGTGGGCGATCCAGACCGGGACCAGCGAATTCCGTGTCACCAGTAACGAGTGCTACAAGGCCCTAATCTCTTTCCCAACTATTCAGAGAAATGCTCACTTTGAGAATGTCAAAATACTGGTCTCAGCCTTATTTATGGAACTTGTTCGTTCTAAACACTCATAGATTCAGTTAGGATAGGCCTAATCCTTGATAATGCAATTAAATGATATTAATTGAACGCTATTCAAAATTCACCATATTTAAATTTCCATTAATAATTTTGTCAACATTCTTAACAAAATTATTAATATTTTACGAACGAGAATATTATTGTTGTATATTATATGCGTTATCTTCACATTTGTTGGTAGCTTGAACACATTACAAAAATTAGTTAACATATTTATATTTATATACATACGTGGTAGAGCCACGCTGCAGTTATATTATGATTGTAGCACGAA